AGGTGTTTTCCTGCACAGGGCAACAGGCAAAAACAAAACTAAGCAAAAAAAAAAATATATATATGGGGGGGGAGTGAGCTCTTATTTTCACTGAAAGTGAGGAAATCACTCTGCTATGGGAGGCAGTCTCACTGGGAGCCTCCGCCTGGCAAAACTTACAAAAACACTGAGAAAATTATTGTTCTTCTTCTTGTTGTTATAGTGTCCCATCAGAACCCACTCATAGTGACCCTAATAGGGGTTTAAAGGTAAATGAGATATTTAAGGAGTGGTTTCACTAGTTCCACCCATCCATCTCACTAGGTTTCCATGGCAGGGCCGGGGAATTGAACCCATATCTCCTGAATCCCAGCCCATTACTCTATCTAGTATCCCACACTGGATACCCTGACACAGCCTTCCCTCCAACAATTCATGTCTAGCTGAACTGGCCAGTCATTTAACAAATGAGAAATAACTATAGGTTTAGCCCAACATTCTAAGTTTATTACCTTGCTTTGGGTATGATTAAGCAAATCTATAACACTACCCCAGGGAAAGCTGCAACTCAATTCCTTAGGTCATGAATAGCTTTCAGCAATTTTGAAGGCACATGGACCTGTGGATGTAGAGTGTTTGACAACCTCAACAAGTTGAAATATGTTTTCATATTTCATTCTGTTAGCCACATTACATCAATCTTGCACCACCTACACTGCCTTTCCGATTTGTCTCTTGGCACAAATCAAAGTCTACTGTATATAGTCTGGGCCAGAATGCTTAAAAGACCACCTGTGTCCATGGTTTTGAGAACTGCTTCAAAGGCTCTTCTGTATGGCTAGGTTGTTGGGAAGATAGGAACTCTGCTGAAGAAAGGTAGACACTGGGCCCTGCTTACCTTTAGATAGGACATAAAAATGTTCTGTTCCTCATTGCTTTTAAGGAATTTATGCATTAAGTATAGTCTCCGTTTTTAAGATATGCACCCCCACCTGATTTTCTGAATTTGGTGGGTTTTGATGTAATATTTAAAACTGAAAGTTTTAAATTGCAAGTCACTTTGAAGACCCCTTTGGGGCTAAAATGTGACCTCAGGACAAAGGAACAGTGGCAAAGAAATCAATGAGGATAAACAGTTTCTATCTTCTATCATTTCTCTGCTTTGAGACTTTTGTAGCCTTGCACATGAGCCATATCAAAATAGCACTGTTTTCTTATCTGAATAGAAATTATTAGAATCTAAATAGCTCTTCAATGAAAGGGGGGAAAGATACATTGTGACTCTCAAAGATGGAGGAAGAGGACCATGTGATCACCTTGCTAAACTCCAGCATAAGATTCCTTTCTCAAAAGGAAGACAGTGTATGGCAAGGATTCTTTATATGTTTTCTAGTTCTGTGATCATTGATGGTTACTCCTGTGTACCTCCTCAAATTTAAGAACTAGTTCTATGGAGGAAAATGCTCTGACAAAGAAGTTACTAGAAGTTTGTCGTTTGAAGGGTGTGAAGAAATAGCCAGTAAGCATTATATCACTTGAAAAGCAAATTACATCCGACACTTAATTTTTTTATATGTAGAATTGGAGGAAATTTAGTTTTCAAATGGGTCCACATATCTTAAAGAACTTTTTCATTGAAGATATTCCCACAGCAATTGGACTTGCAAAATAATTTCCTTATTTACCTTCCAATTATCAATCATGAAACAAAGCCCACCTAAATGAAAGATATAGAGGTGAGGAAAATAATGTGTCTTTTCCTACTTGAGGAAGCACTAAAGGTAAATGAGAGCTAAGTCAGGGGTCTCAAACTCAATTTAACTGGGGGCCGCTGAAGGCAGAATCTGGGTGAGGCTGGGCCACATCATATTTTCTGCCAAGCAGAGCAAGAGCCCAAGGAAGCCACCTAGGAGTTTCCTTAGCCCAGCTGGGGCTTCAAGGAGGAGGAGGAGCGCATGAGCCCTCGTCGCCAGACATCAGCTGGGGCTTCAAGGAGGAGGAGGAGGAGGAGCACATGAGCCCTCGTCGCCAGACACGACCCTGTCCAGCTCCTCCTTCACTACCACCACCACCAGCAGGATGAAGCGGAGAAGGGAGGGAGTGCCAGCGATCGCCTAGCGGGGTAGGGAGGAGGGCAAGACATAATTTTTTTTAAAAAACCCTCACAGAAAAGCCTCCACCGGTACCCGTGAAATTAAACAGAATGGGTTGGGGCCCCCACAGGTGCATGCACGCATGCACGCACACACAAACACACACACAGAGAGAGGTCTGGCAACCTTCCTCTGAGGGCGCCCCTCAAAAAAGGCGCACTCAGCAGCAGCAGCTACAGAGGAGGAAACTTTGTGAGGCTAGCACATGCAGTCTCCAGAGCCGAGGCAGCTGAAGCAGGACAAAGAGGAGGAGGAGGAAGCACCGCTAGGTTCTGAGGTGGCCGCTGGCCAGGCTGGTGCTGGGAATGCCAAGAGAGAAAGAGAGCAAGAGAACCACTTGCTTGGAAGAGGCGGCGGCAGCTGCTGTTGGCAGCTTGGAGGCGCACTTCGAGGACGGGCTGGGAGGAAACTCCACTCTCAGGCATCGCTCGGTGGTGGCTCAGGAGCTCAGGGAAAAGGGACAGCAGTGCACCTTGCTCACCGGCTCTCCCTCAGAACAGCATCTCTTGCACCCTCCATCTGGAACTGCAGCCTGCCAACTGGCAGACAGGCGGGTAGGCGGGCTGGCAGGCTGCAGTTCCGGATGGAGGGTGCAAGAGGCGCTGTCTTGGGAGAGAGGGGGGCAAGCAAGGAAAGGCTTTTTTTGACTCTTGACAGCAGAGGATGCATGGGCACTTCAGGGGGGCAGGCAAGTCGGAGGCCACAAATGATCATCTGGCGGGCCACATGTTTGAGATCTCTGTGCTAAGTGTTTCATCTAATTTGACTGTTAGTGACAGAGCAGCTCCATATTACCACAGCAGTTAGACCCAAGTTGTTTCAAGAAAGAGTCAAGAGGTTGCATAGTAAGCTTGAAAAGGATGTGAGTGGGAGCACGTAGCAATTCTATTTCTCATGGGAATATGGTGACTTATCCAGGGAATGAGTTTCCTTTTTGCAAACGTTTTATTGTTCCATTTTATAAGATGTTCTGTGGTTGCTTTTTCCCAGCGATTAGTAAGAAATTGTTTAAGTACGTTTACACCGAACTTGCCTTGCTCAGCCAATGAGATTCGTTTCTCACTGGATGACTCAGAAAGTCAATAAGCCAGTTAATTTTTGTTTGTCCAGAATCATAAACAGTTTCCCCACAGTGGAGTATGCTGTTGATTAAAACTGAAAGTGAGATCAAGGGCAGAGGTGGAAAATGTAAATCTTCCTGGATGTTCCGGGAGTCTGTCTCTCACCAGTCCTAGCCACTATGGCCAATGGCAGGTATGATGGGAGTTGCAGTCCAAAAGTATACGGAGGACTGCTAGCTCCTCCATTTTCTATGGTTTGAAGGAAAGATTCCTCGTATGATGGAGAGTCCATAGAGAAAGTGTTCTCTAACTTCCTATGAAAAGAGGATACATCTATAAGGTCTGGGGGGCGGGGGGAGGAAGCCAGGCTTAAAGCAGACCCTATTGTAAAAACATGTAAGTGATGTTATGCTGTTATGTCATAATTAAGTGGCACAGAAATGCCTAATAAAAACTTTTATCACTTTTTGTGATAAAAATGCATTAAATATAAACTTCATAAAATCCAAAGAAACTCTACAGAATTTTCTGCAAAATGTACTACCTCTGGTATTTGGCAACTCATGGAAAATATTTCATTGGACCTCAAAGGTAACCCTTTAAACTGGATTAAAGAATTTAAGTGTTTAGGGCTCTACAGTATTTTCAAATAGTCTTAAACAGAACCAAAACCCTTTTTAGGGTTTTCCAGGTAGAGAATATTCAGAGGGGTTTGCCATTCCCTTCTTCTGGAACTGTGTAGCTTTCCCAAGGCCACACAGGCTGGCAGTACTCACAGGAGGCAAAGTGGGGAATCAAATTCCCAACTTCTAGCTCCACAAGCCAGATACCTAAACCACTGAGCTATCCAGCCAACTTTTAATTCTCTGCACAAAAGGGGTAAATTTAATTGTGGTAGGCTTTTAAGAAAAAACCACTAAAGGGTCAAATGAAAGATATATTTAGTGCCGTATTCTGTTCCCAGGGTGGTCAATAGAAGCCACACATGAGAGACATGAGCACAATATCTTCCTTCTCATTTTTCCATCAACTGCCATATAGAGCCATTCAGGTCATGATTTATAGCCACCATGAGTAGTTTACAGTGGTAGCCTTATTCTCATTGAGTGGTTTAATTTCCTTTTTCAAACCAGCCAAGCTGGCAGTATCTCACCCTGTGGTAAGAAGTTCCATAGCTTGGCTATACAGTTACATGAAATGTTTCTTTTATCTGGCCTGAAGCTTTCATTATCCCACTATTTTGGATTGTCTGCACTATTATATTATGAAAGCAGGCGGATGCTCTACCCACTCCCTTTGTTTACACCCGTGCCCCCACTTATTAACCCTTTTTCTAATCAAAAGACCCTCTTCCACAAACCTTGGGACCTAACTCTTTACAGAAGTTACTGCATCCCCTGGATCATTTCAATTGCCTGTTTCATTTTCTTTACAATTTGAAGAGAATATAGAGAGAAATTTAAACCAACACACACCTCTTATTTTAACACATTTCACCTTTTCCACAGCAGATACATGCAAAATATATCCCAATTGATTGTCATGGAAAATTGTTTCATGCTCTCTTTTCACCAATTTGCCCTTTTTAAATATTGTCACTAATTTAAGTGCATGCCATTATAGAAAAGAATATTAAAAGCTTTAATGGTACAGCCATTAGTTGATCTGCTTTATTTAAACTCTGGTTGCACATTCTTCACTTCATTGTTTAACACATAAAAAGAGCAGACACATTCCCAAATCATAACAAAGCAGAAGCTCTCTCAGAGAAACAGAAAAGTTCAGTGACAAAGTGCAGTTCAAGTACCTGTATACAAATCCCCGTGCGCAAACATGTCAATCATATAGCGACAGAATTCGTATTGATCTAGCAGAACAGAAAAGCAGGGGAAAGAGTAGTGAGGCACAATTAGAGGTCTTTTAAACATCAAGTGCTAGAAAGAGACAGAGCATGAGTGCTAAAATAAAATCTTTGCCAGCGTTTCATCTCTTCCTTAAGGCAATCAATAACCAAACAGATTGTGAAATTGATGTTTCTGTCCTCTCTTTCTTTCTCAGGACGAGCTGAGGAAATGCCTTCTGGATTTTTTTTCCCAAAATGATGAGATTTCTTCATGGCTAGTGGTATCTAATCAGGTGTAACTACCAGGACCATATTTCAGAGGCTCGTCTCAAATATAGGCAAAGATTGTAACATGCAGGATGTTTTCATTAGGCTATTATCCACTTGTGGAGGGTGCTGAGCATATTCGTAGTCTAAAAGCCTCTACTACATAGGCAATTTAATGTAGAAACAGACATAAGTTAGATCTGATTCTTTTCCTGTAGATCTCTGGATGATTTGCAGTAGGTTTCCAGCTCCCAACTGGTTAACAACAACATGACTCCTCCCCCCACAAAATGATACTACTGTACAGTACTAAAATTGAAAGTGTGGGACAACTAGAAGAGTGTGTGACGTGACATTTATCATTTTACTTAATTGTTTGTAACACTTATATGACAGTTAATGTAATAAAATTGCTAAGTGGATTACACACCCTGTGCGTAATATTACAATATCAATATCACAAAATACATACACTATGAATAAACTGCAATAAACAGGTAGTTCACTCTTCAGAATGAGCTTCTATGAAATAGCCATGGGAGAGGCAAGGGTTGGTTCCCAGAAGTTGTTTTATAATGCTATAAATTACTTTGAATTCTTTAATAAAAATACCATATTTTTAAACTAAAAAAATAAATAACCAGCCTTGTTACTAGCATTTGCTCCAGTTATGAACTGGGTACTGACAATTTGGAAATGCTTCTGTTGTTTCATATATGTTTTCAAATAATCCAATGCAGACACAAATACAGAAGGCTATTAAATAATATGTGCTGAATAAAATGCACATTAGATTTATTAGATTCAGTTCTTCCATGATACCTTGTGGTGCTGTTTATTGAGCTGAACAATACACTTGAAATTTTATTTATGTATTTTAACAGGAAAGCAGCGCATAACTTTTTAAAATAAATAAGTAAAGGGCAGAAACCCTGATATCCATTTTACAAAAATGCTCAGCACACCTATTCAGAAATGAGCGTGCACTGGATATATGAAATGGAAATGTGAGAAGTATTGGAAATCGAAGCACTGATACCAGTTATGGGGGGGGGGAGAGGATGGTCAGATATATAGCCAGATGGTCTCCAGAATCTTTGTGCCCTATTGCTTATCCAAATAGTCCTTTGCCTGTAAATAGCTACATTCAGGCTTTACCTCTTCTCCTTCCTAGCCATTAGAGTAGGAAATGTTCACTTTTGTTAGAGAGCTATAGCAGATGGACTTTCCACTATAGTGGCTATCAGCATAGCATCACACATGGAAGCCTACATTAGGTGTCTTTGTAAAAATGTTTAGGGGCATGTCCTTCTGCAGTGTCTAAATTTTAGAAATATTTTCTATTTTTATTTCATTGTGGAAGATTCTGAGTATTCTAGTAAAAAAAAACCCTACATCTTTTTCCAAACTCTCTTGCAAATTGGCAGAAAGTGATCCAACAACATGATCACCTGCTCTAGCATCACAGTTCCTCTCCCATCACACCAGTAGAGCCAAAGTTTCATGTAGTATTTTTCAGCCTCTTTTAGTAGTCTGTTTCATTCATTCAGACATGATAGGTGACAGTTTTGGAATCAGATGATCTTTGATTTTGAGCAGGGTACTACTGTTTATTTCAACACCATTTTAGTTTTGCTCTGTTCTAGACCTAAGAACTACCCATGATTCAGAATTTGTGATCCAGTTATATATTTCTAATTGATATTGAAGAGACCATTGAGGATGAACATGTGGAGGCAGCCCAAAATTAACTGCATGACAAATTAATGTCACAGAAGAGATAATGTTCCTGATTCATGTTCATACTTAATTTAATAAAACCCATATTGCTGTTTATGTTTTTTAAAAATCTGCAGCTGTGATGTAATACCAATGCTATACTCAGCATTGATGATTCTGTCAGATGGAGAATTGTGGGCTGTTATGGGAAAATGTAAGTCATTTTTGTTAAGCACTGCTTTTGCACCAATCACATGGAGAAGAATTCAACAGAAGCAATGGCTTAGGAGTTGTCCTCTAGATCAGTGGTTCTTAACCTTTGTTACTCAGATGTTTTTGAACTGCAACTCCCAGAAGCCCTCAGCACCACCTCTGCTAGCCAGGATTTCTGGGAGTTGAAGTCCAAGAACATCTGGAGGCCCAAGGTTGGGGACCACTGCATAGATAGTAACCTGGAACAAGCCACCAATTTTTTTTCCACACTAAAACTTTTTCAAGTTTCGAACTAATGTTCTTGGATAATCAGTGGAATCAACAGAATGTTCTGGATGTTTTTGCTTGTCCAAACAACATGTATACAGGATTCAAAAATATTTTAAAAGAAGTTACACGAATAAATGTTGACCACAGTAGGGTGCATCAATGTTAGGTGTTTGCATATATAAATGTGAATGCATAATTTACATATTTGAAAGATTCATAATATGCCTTTTAATGAAATGTTCATCTAATTACTCATTCCATGATTTACAGTTCCATGATAGGAAGGATCCTGTTGGTTTTCATTGTTGCTTAGATTGTTTCATTTTAGTTTTGTTGACATATTTTGATTTCACTTGCAAATCATTTTGGAAGAATCTGTACTGTTAAAGTTTGGAAAGAACTAGGAAGGAAGGAATCGACAAATGAACTTTCATTTATAACAGAAGGCTTAATTTGAACTTGAGTCCTGTGAGAACACAAATCACATTATGGCTCACGACTGGTGTGAAAACAAGGCATTAGATCCACATCATACATAAATAAAGCTTGTAAAAGTTAGTTTTTTGGATCACAGTTCCCACAAGACCCAGCCAGCATGGCCACCATAACAAGACTCTTCCTAGCCCTCCTTCCAGATCAATTTGGTATACATTACTTAAGAAACCAAACACTGAAAGGAAGTATTATATTTGTGCTAACGTTTAAGGGAAGGGGAAGTGATATAAACTCCATAAGAAAATGATGGTGTTCTTCATGTTTAATAGACTTTATACATAACAAAGATCAGGTACAAATTATGTAAATGAAAATAGCAGATTGCAATTGCTTCCCAACACATGGTGACTATAGATTAATGTCAATAATATGCATCAACAAATCCCCATTATGTGATTGTGATGTTCCGTGTGGATTCTAGTCCAAATCGGACACCATCTGATCATTCAGATAATCTTTTTCTCAATAGGAAAGAGAGTTAAAACCATTGTAAGATGTACTGTGCAAACTTTTTATTCACATGTATGTCTCTTACTGTCCTCAAATCAAATAATGAGAGAGTTTTGAGCAGAGTTGTAGGATCTAACCATATTTTTCTTTCTTTTTGTCTTCCACAACAATTATTTTTCAGTCCATCATTACATGTACACTTTAACAGTTTGGCCTTAACTTGCATCATACCCAGGAAGATCTCATGAGGAGCCTCGTGGTGCAGTGGTTAAACTGCTGCACTGCAGCTAAAACTGTGTTCACGACCTGGGGTTCAATCCCAGGTAGCTGGCTCAAGGTTGACACAGCCTTCTGTCCTTCTGAGGTCAGTAAAATGAGTACCCAGCTTGCTGGGGAGGTGATGTGTAGCCTGCATAATTAACTTGTAAACTGCCCAGAGAGTGCTTGAAGCGCTATAGGGCGGTATATAAGCAGCATGCTTTGCATATAAACACATTCTTCATAAAAGAGTCCCACCTGACATTGGTAGCCCAGACTGAGAGTTAGTGTGATATTTTCTACAGCTAACAGTCACCAAACAGTCATTTGTTCTATATGCAACTTGTGAACTCATTCGCATTGTGTGAATCCTAACCCACAGGGTGAATAGAAAAACAAGTGCAGTCATCTATGCAGCTCAGTGCTCAGTGGGCACACAATGCTGGTTGCCTGTTGTGCTGCTAATGGTGGGAATGAAATACCTTTGAAGAAGGCCATGACTGACTTGGAACCCTAAACAGGAGTGGAGTTGAGAAACTAGTGAGAGAGGAAAAAGAAGAGAGGGAATGGAGAGAACGGGTTCACTGCAAATGACCACTGAAAAGGAAGACTGGCAGCTGCCAGGGATGCTAACAGAGAGAGAGAAACCAAAGAGGCTTTAAGTAGGGTTAAGAAGAATAGAGGGTGAGCATGTGTGTCATTTCCTCGCTGGCTGTCCTTGCTCTGCTTTCCTCTTACTTTCTGGATCCCCTGAGAGAAACAAGAGAAGGATGGTGGAGGAACAGAGATGTAGATATAAAGGGTCACAGACAACTACTGCATTGTCTGGACATGCCATTTTCTGACTGACACCGAGAATCTGTTTTCAAACGTCCCCAGGGACAGAAGGGGTTGCAAGGAGAATCCTTAGCTAGATTTCCATTTTTATGTGCTGAAATTCAACAGAGAGATATTCTTACCAGTATTTTATCCCCCACTTTAAAGGCTCAATGCTTTTTATCTGTATGTGTGCTGGTGTGGACCACTTTAAACTTAGTTACATGCTCTGCTGTCCCCTTGTACATTAGAGATCCTTGGCTGCTGCCTCCTGGTATAACCATTTACCTTTTGTGTCTGACTTTGTTGTAAGCTCCAGGGCAGCCTCTTCCTTGGCTTTCGCTTTGGCTGGTCCAATGTCATGTACTTTGACTTCCTTGTGCTTCCCTTTTTCAGGAGCCTTGGATTCTGGTTTTCTTTCTTTCGCATCCTTTTTAGTTTTTTCTTCCGCTTTGGTGCTCTTCTTTTCTGCATATTATTATTATTTTGCAAATAACATATTTTATTTAGTTTTTAAAAAAATATTTCATATTTATTCACCAAGCATTAAAAAGACCTTCAGTGCTACCTATGTGTAAATGATTAAGTCATCATCAACAGTAGTAACGACATAATATAATTAATGAGGAAGAAATAAAGAACTTTTAATTAATGCAGAGTATTGAACGTTTGTAGCTTTTGGAAAAGCTCCCAAAGTCTGCAGGAATTCTTCCAATCAGAATTCTGGAGGTTTTAGCCAAAAAATCAAAGTCTTCTCAGGTGTTTTTAACCACTTGCAGCTAAGGAATAAAAGCTCCATCTTTGACATGATGGACCTTCATAAAGAATGAGGAAGTGCCTGGAAGAGGTTAAGCTCCATGGGAGATGCAATACATTAGGGGTCTGATAGTATCCCTGACCTTTATGCTCCCCAGTACCTCTGAGAAATCACCAGAATGATAATGCCTTCTACCTTGCACAGAGCGTAGTCTCTACTGGTTGCCACCAACAATTTCATGAAAAACTTCTTGTGCCCAAGATGGAGCCCTTATTCTTCAGCTGTAAGCAATTAAAAATACCTGAGAGGACTCAGATTTTTTGGTTAATACTCCCAGAATTCTGGCTGAGGTAATTCCAGTAGGCTTCTGGGGACTGTAGTCAAAAAATATGAAAGTCCCATTGACTGGATAGGAGTAGCCCATTGACTGAAGGGGATTTGTTAAGTAATATGTACAGTAATTAGCTGTTGTACTCTGGGAGCAAGATGAAAACAGACAACTCTTTGGAAAAGATAATGATGTTAGAAAAAGTTGTAGGCAAGAGGAAAAGAGGAAGATCAATTATGAGATGAGCAGGGCTGTTAACAATAGGCAGTTTTGGAGGTCACTCATTTACATACCATAAGTCGGAGGCAACTTCACAGTATTTAACAACAACAATATATAATTAATAGGACTACTCTAAGTGAGACAAAAAAATAAGATTGCATTGTAAACCAAGCTTATGCCTGTTTATAACAGCAACTGCCTCATAGTCCAAATACCTGCTGAAATGAAAAGGTATCTTCACAAAAGTACAGGCTGCATTATTTCCCCTAAGGTATATTGGACAAACCTCTAGTTAATACACATCAAACCAACAGCAAATTACAAACATGACAAGACATTTAAATTATGAACAATTAAACTATATGAGCAATGTAAGTAGAATTAATTCACTAGTTGGGGCATTTGGATATTACTAAGAAATGTTCAATATTACTAACAAAAGCAGTAATCTACTGGGGAAAGCAAAGGTACAAATAGTGCTGTCATTGATGATGCAGCAAGATTAAAGCCAAAAGGACATCTAGTGGCTGACATGCACAGAAATCAATGAAAAGTCCAAAGCTGTACAACACATACAATTATATACATTGAAGCTGAGAGTTAGTTCTTAGATGGATGTCTTTTTATTGTTGCTTGCCAACAGCTAATTCTACAGCAAGGAAAGGGTATATTTTACCAGCATATTACACCTAGATCTATTCCCCAACAACAGGAAGTTCCTGTGGCATTGTCATTATATAAAACACACTTCTGGAAAATATTAATGACTAAAGGAAATACCTTTTGGAGCAACTTTTTCTTCAATCTTTGGTTGCCGTTCAGGTTTCGCCTTCTCTGTTACTGAAATTTTTAAAAACAGTAATGTTATTTTAACATCCAAATTTAGGCAAACACATACATTTTAATTTACATATGAAAATGTAATTGACATAGATCAGGTATCCCATAATTATATGTCCAACATAATTATATGTTGTTGTTGTTTTGATTTATATGCCACCCCCATAGTGCTAAAGCACTCTCTGGGTGGTTTGCAATATAATTATGCAAACAACACTTCCCTGCACGCCAGCAAGCTGGGTACTCATTTTACCAACCTAGGAAGGATGGAAAGCTGAGTCAACCTTAAACCAGCTACATGAATCCATCAAGATCGTAGGTCATGATCCTGACCAGAGTCTTGACTGACTGCAATACTGAAGTTTAACCACAGAGCCACAATAATTTGCTCGATTTTCTTTTCAGCAGTTCATTTGCAGCTCAATTGGTTTTATGAAAGCCTTATTTTAGCATGGCTTTAGCAGGTCTTTCTACTGAAAATAAAGAATGGACAACAGATTCCATTTATTTGTATAATATGGGACACATAACACATTCCTTTTTCACTAAAGAATGACATCTATCATTGTTACTTTGTCCCTCCTAATATTGTGTTTCTTTTTACACACTGGGAGAAGATAAAATAAGATGTTTAAGAGAGGGTTTGGAGGGCCTCACCCAGTTTCAGATCATTTTCTTACAACGGTTAATGGTTTGCTTTTTGAAAAAGAAAAGAAGCTGACAAGTACTGAAAAATTTATGCAATAATTCACCTTTTTTTACAGTGTTAACAGTAATAAGTAAAGCTTGGTGAGCTTTGCATAGTTATATAACAAATTACTTTTTAAAAGCAACTGCCATCATATGACATTTAGTTTGTCTGAAGACAATACAAGTTATGTCTTTTTTTCTCACCTGCCTACCATTGCACTACAGTTTACAAGAATCAAATACATACAGATTACTTAAGCCATCACACAAACACTCTTGAATCATCCCGCCACCTTACAACACTAGCCAAATAGGGCACATTTCCTATGCTTATTGGGTTTCACATGCAGATATAATTTTGTTTTCTTTATTATGTATTACACGTTCAGCAGTGGTATTAAAGATCAGAACACATGACAAGTTGAGTACAAATTACAAACCACATGGTGTAAGAAGGCAATGTGATTGCACCAGCAAATGTAAGCACTTTTCATATATACTTAATTGCAAATTGAGAATACATTAAAGTTGCATGTGATTCTAGAAAGATAACACAGGCCTCACCGTACATTAAACTATCATAAATTTTGTTTGGGGGAGGGATAAATGTCCAAACATTATGTTGAAACATCTCAGCGACTTGTCCTCAGTTAGTAGAGCAACAAACAGACAACGTGGACTCAAACTCTTAAAAAATGATTCGTTAGCACAGCAGTCTTCTTAGGAAAGAAATCACAATGACATGTCTTATTGTAAAATAAGAAAGCTAGTGTTATTAGATAAATACACTGAGATAAGAAAGTCAATATGAATCTTAGTTCTAGCTATGTAAGATGAAGGTGCAGAGAACCACGATTGTTCCCTCACTTCTCAAGAGCAAAGGCATGTTCTCTCTCAGGAAGGGTCAAGAAGGGGCAGTTGAGGTTGAAGGGAGGTCAACGTAGCTCACAGCAGGTAAAGAGCAGACTAGGAAACCTAGACTACAAGGAAAGGCATCCACTTCAAGGCAGGATGACTTGCAGCCATTCACATCCCAAACCTTCCAATGGTCCCCACTAAAAAAAAGGCTTGGGACTTTTCTAGAATTTATCCATAAACACCTGCATTACTAAGCATTTGCTTATTTTCATTAGACAGCTTTTTGTATCCAGAACTTCTTTAAAGGACAAAAGAAAATTTTAAAAAATGAAGATTTACTGCAGGCAAAATTTCAAACTAATAGTATAATTTTTCTCCATGCAACCAAACATTTGCAAAACATTCTCAAAACAGTTATCCAGAATCAGGCTGGCAGTATTTTACCTATCATTAGGTATGGCAGAGCTTGAAAGGCAGTAATCTATCCACTCCTGAAACAGGATCTAGCATCTTTTTGACTAGTGTACAAACTTCTTAAGAAGCTTAAAGTGCCATACACTCTAGGCTTCAGTGGCTGCAATATCCTTTCTCAAGCTTTGTACTGGCACTTCTAGCTCGATAATGGGATGCCAATAATGCTGTCAGGCCTGGTGGATTATTCCTACTTAGAGGTTTACAGAGGCCTTTCCTCCACTGATTGGTGTGGATCTCTTGGTGGCTTTCCATACAGTGACCCAAGCTGCATTTTGGAAGGGGATAAAAGGCCAAAGTACTGGGTTAGTTAGCCATCATTTTCACTCTTCTCTGTATGTTTGCATTCAGAAGGCAGCTATGCATGATCATAACCTGCATGCCATTTAAAGATCTAAGGAAGGCTTCAATACAGAAGCTTCCAGGAGCAGAGACCTTAATGCAAGTGTCTTGAGGTATGGAATGGCCAGCAAGTTCAAATCAGAATATATTCTTCCCTTGCTCATTCTGAAAAAGTGCATTGAGGCTCAATTGGTTCAACTAACATTTGGCAGTTAATATTTATTTGTATATTAATTGGTTTATTAATTGCCCGGGTCCCTATGGGGGGAAAGGTGGCATATAAATAACATAAATACTGTAAATAATACAGATGCTTTCAGAGCTGGTGACTTTTGTTCATATTTACACCGCCTACTGCTGTGTAATTGCTCCTTGTTTTGACACATGTACCTCTTTGAGTACAGTTCCAGCATCCAGAATTTTGTTAGTCAATCCTGTTATGCTTGTTGGCGTAACTCCAGCCACAAACTCATACAAGTTAAGAAGCTGACCCAAGCATTTCATGATGCACACCAGCCATATGACTCAGTGTGAGGTAAGAAAGGCCTATGCTGATTTCTTAACATGTGGCAATTTAACATTGAAAGTTACACCAATGGAGTTATGGCTGTATACGTATGTCATATGAATCCAGCCAATGAGATATACAAGCCACAAAGCACCATCTTATGTGTGTTAAAGAAGAAATTATTCTTGTATTCAGTAGGGGTAACTTCCAAGTGTGTAGAGATTGCACCCTTAATTGAACAGTCAGATAAATAAATGGTTTTGCAGTAGTTGTATTAGTAGCACTAACATTTTTCCCAAAAGCACACATACATACAGAAGCTAAGGTGAGGCAAAGAAGACTGGAGATAAACCTGTGGGTTTTCACCTTCTCCTTTCTCCCAAAGTATATTTGGAAACAGAATACCAACAAAAGAATAATAGTATTCCTCCTCACAGCCTTCTACCTAATACATGTGGGGTAAATGCATGGTGTGAACATCTTGTCCAGCATATCTCTCCTTGCCTTGCTGCAGAATAAAAGTGAAACTGTCAGGAAAAGAAACACAAATAATATAGTGGAATGAAAAAGTTGGTATAGAACATAAGGGGGGGGGAATGCACTTCTGTTTTTAGAAGCTATGAAAAGTCGTACAAAATGCTAGTAAACAACCTCAGAAATATCTTGATCCTCACAAAATTGAAAACTGATACTCAGTTGAGGGGCTTTGTTACAAAGATATCCCTGGAATGAATTTGGGAGAGAGAAAAATAACAACGATCTCTTTTACAATATCCACTAGTTCACCAGAAAACTCCATTTAGAGGTTTGCAGTGCTCTGTACTGTCAAAACAGAAGCCATCCATTAAGAAGATACTCTGATGCATCAGGTTACTATTAAAGGAATACTCTCAAAACTGTAAAGAGGGATGATGCTAAATGAGATGTACTTGTTATATTACTTGTTCTTCTTAGTTCAAGTTGTCCCAACTCAACAAGATTCATCAATGAGGAGTTTCTAGGCCCTACAAGATTATTCCCATTCAAACAAAAGCAAAAAGAAGGAGCGCTGCTTTGTCTTTGTCCTTGTCTTCAGAATTTGTACAAACTGTCTACGTGCAAAACTAGCATCCAGGACTCCCATTTGTGGTGCAGAGCAGGTGTGCAGAGGCACACACATTCATACACATGTAGTGATCATGGAACCACTGTTTAAAAAAAGATGCAAAAACCCAACTCTGATCCAGTTGTCCTCCAAAGTCCAGGCAGCAAAGCAGCAGCTTTCCATGTTTGCATTAGTGACTGATTTGCATTGGTGGCTGAAACCGCCTTCCAATTCGGATTAAGTTCTCAAGTCAAGACCCCATTGTACGTGCAAAACTAGCATCCAGGACTCCCATTTGTGGTGCAGAGCAGGTATGCAGAGGCGCACACACTCATACACATGTAGTGATCATGGAACAACTGTTTAAAAAAAGATGCAAAAAATCGACTCTGATCCAGTTGTCCTCCAAAATCCAGGCAGCAAAGCAGCAGCTTTCCATGTTTGCATTAATGACTGATTTGCATTGGTGGCTGAAATCCAGTAATAAGTTGCAATTAGAGTAGGCCCACAGAATCAGTGGGGATTTGGTGAATTTATTTTTTTTTCATAAATTACATTGATTTGGTGGGCACCACCAGCATTCCTATTCTCTTGTTGAGAGTGCCTCAAAATGCCTTACCCTCTCATGGGGCAAGGAGAATAAATTGGCAGTGCTTTGTCCTCCCATGAAAAGAAAAGACAAGCTAGGACTAACCTAAATATAATGCTTCCTAGTTAAAATGGAAAGTTTTAAGCACAATAAATTCATTACATTTCCACGTGCCACAAGACATTCCATTGTAACAGATCAATGTATGTAATGAAGGAATAATAGCTTTTCATCAAAAGAGAACACAAATTAAGCCAAAGGTAAAGCATTCAATCTGGGCTCATCTGTTCTGGGGCCTAAAACAACATCCAAACCAGCAACCATCTCACAAATTGATGATGGAAAAGAATTTTACTGGATTCAGCTACCTTGACAAAAGTAACATTTTCACATCTCCTGAGACTCATTGTGAAAAGAAATGCACCTTCCTTCAAGACTGCGTGCATTTGCAAAACTTATTTTGAGAAACAAAGTGCACATGAAAGAGTGTGCACACTTAAAAATGCAAATATCTACAATGCACATAATTTAAAAAGATTCAGTGGGGGAAATTGTGAAATTAGGTAAGAAGCGTGAATAAGTACGTGTATTAGGGAAATGAGTAAAACACATGTGTGGGAAGCATTTGCAAAACTTATTTTGAGAAACAAAGTGCACATGAAAGAGTGTGCACACTTAAAAATGCAAATATCTACAATGCACATAATTTAAAAAGATTCAGTGGGGGAAATTGTGAAATTAGGTAAGAAGCGTGAATAAGTACGTGTATTAGGAAAATGAGTAAAACACATGTGTGGGAAGGAAACACAAAATGCATGGGAACCAAATTCTAACAAGGCCATGGAAAAAAGGATGTGAAGAAATACTACCATATCAAAACAGTGATTTTCATATCTCTAAGGAAGCACAGCCCACCACTGGCTGGGATGTTCATCTGTGAAGTGGAAACTTCACTGAAGTCAATCAGAGCTGCACCATCATGCCCATGTGTAGTTTCTGCCCACTTTAGTGGGACCTCTTATGCAGGAGAATTTCCCAAAGAAATATGTCCTCCAGTTCTGATCTCTACCATGCTACCACCCTCAGCACCACCCAAAATTTGCTATAGTACGTCACTTCTCATACATCTCTGTGCTAATTCTGGTCATGAAATCTACCTTTTGGGGAAGGAGGTGGTTTCTTTGTAGGCTTTTCTTGCTTTGCAGCTTTCTCTTTGGGAGGCACTAGAAAGGAATAAAAATGGCACAATATTTTACTTGATGGATGGATGGAAGGAAGGAAGGAAGAAAGGAAGAAAGAAAGAAAGAAAGAAAGAAAGAAAGAAAGAAAGAAAGCTATATCAGCAGGGATAGGGAGGGGGAAGAGAAACAATTAGAAGCAGATTTTAAACAGAAAATTTTGGTGCCAACAACCAGCAACCCACCGCTTCCTCAAGATGCCAACAGTTTTATTTATGCTGGCAATCTTGCACTTCCTGCTCAGTCAGAGAGCTTCCAGATGATAGATCTTTTAACAAATGCATTAGAAGACACATATTATAATAGAAAATTATTTCATACATTTATTAATTTTACTATGGTGCTTCTGAGAGAAAGAACAGAAACTGAAAGAGTTAGACATTAAAGAAAATGCACATTTTCTGCAATAGATCTATTTCCCTTCAAAAAGTGGACTTTCCACACAGACCTATGCCATAGCATTCAGACTTACAAATTAACCTCAGGCTTATCATCCAGTGACCAACTGCAAAAGAAAACAAACTAAATACAAGAAAAGTAAGTGGGGAAAATCACACAATATGACTGTGACGATCGCCCACGTCAGTGGTCTCCAACCTTGGGCCTCCAGATGTTCTTGAACTTCAACTCCCAGAAATCCTGGCCAGCCAAGGTGGTGGTGAAGTCTTCTGGGAGTGGTAGTCCAAGAACATCTGGAGGCCCAAGGTTGGGGACCACTGGCCTACGTCACTCATGCCATTCATATTCATGAGCTGATTTGCATGAGCCTATGAGAGGACTGGAGAGGTGGAGTCAGCAGCTACATGAGGTTTAGCGGGAGAAGGTGGAGTCAGATAGGGTTGGTTAGTCAGAGAAAGAGGGAACAGATACTGAGAGATAGAGCTGGTTAGGAAAAATAGGTAGGGAAGGCGGTAATGATATAGCAAGAGAAAAGAAGTACGTACTGAGATAACTGTTGATGATTTGCTTGTGTATAATGTGTATCTGAGAAACTTCTGTTATTATTCAATCTGCTTCACTTCAATAAATAAGTTCTGTTTCTGTTCACAAGTCAAGTGTTCAAACATCATTTATATTGTGGATTGAGGTAATCCACTGGTGGCAGCAAGAAGAGAGTGTGATGTGAACCTTTGTGAGGGAAAGACAAGCAGGGGCGATGAGGGCGAACGCCACAATGACAAACAGATGTCTTTCACTACTGGAGGAGTACTTGTGCAGAACATATGATAAACATGTTTACTTCCACTGGGAACCATCAGGATCCACTGGGAATCATGTCAGACTCCCACAAGTCTGTCTCAAAATAGATACATATGTATGACTCATGCATACATAGAGTTGCTATGCTTATGATACCACAGCCAGCCAACAGCCAGAATTACAGGGATCTAAATCCTACCAGTCAGTTGTTCAAGAAAAGTAATGGACTCAATCTAACCTAGTTCTCTTTCTCTTCCAACCAACTCATTAGTAGGACATAAACATTAAAAACTACCTGTGGTTAGCCGTACAGTTCACTCACTCTTTTTGATTACAACCTCAGATTATTTTTGGCAACTTTCTCTGCTTGGATTCAAAGAAGCAGTAATTAAATGGAATTCCTTATCTTTTCAGAAAACTAACTAACTAACTAACTAACTAACTAACTAACTAACTAACTAACTAACTAACTAAATAAATAAATAAATAAATAAATAAATAAATAAATAAATAAATACGGCCACACACACAATTTGCAATCTTTTTAAAGCCTGCTTTATTAGCTAAGGTCATTCCAGACAATAGTAGCTTTGTCAGTCAATGCTTCCGTTCCCTACAGGGTGTGAACCTTAATCTCAGCTGGCCGGAGCAAATACTGAAACATGATTATGCTGCAAGAAAACTTTAAATTCAATATACTACAATGAAAAATGACCATAAGTGCTTCTGCAAATACCATATGTCCACTTGCCTTAAGCAAGCCATTTTCTTTGCAGGCAAGTACAATATAATTAGTTTTTTTATTATCATCCATCAACCTTGGAAGCAGTGCACAATTGGATTTTGTGCCTGGGACAGTAATGTTGTTTTCATTGCAATTTCATGGAGGAATCATAATGGATAAGACCCAATCTTGCCTTTACTCTGACAGGAGTAAAGGGGATTCCCTTTCAGCCCTACAGGCTCTTGTGCCTTCTAGTCTTCTATTGAGGATTGGGATCCCCCAGAGCATATTTAAGGGGGGAATCCAGGGTAGAGGAGACAATGGGAAATTTCACCCATGTAGGCTGAAGTCCATTTATGAAAAATTGGATACAGTTCAAAATGGATATGCAACTGTAATTTCTGTTGAATCAATTAATGTAATAATAAATATTACAGATGATTATTTGTTGCTAGTGTTGTACGAAAAAAAGCCACTCACATTTTCTTCAGTCATTTTTATTCAGTTTGGTAGACAACAAACTCTTCTTGAAAAGAATTCCAAAGGAAGAAGAAAATTCAGAGAAAAAATTATGGGTGAGATTCAGGATGCTTGGCATCACCTTACTTAATAGATAACTGTGAAGTGTGTGTGATTGTCCTGTCTTTCATTTTATAAGCATCTCTGGGGCAGTGAGATATAAAGAGTGGAGGAGACCAAATGGAACACACCCATCATCCAAGAGGACATTTGCATAATGGTCTATGTATTACTGAGTGCGAGAGTGGTGTTGTGGAATGAATGTTGAACCCTGGAAAGCAGGAAACCTGGGTTTATATCTCTGCTTATCTATGAAAACTCACTGGGGATAGCAATGGTAAACCATTTATCTATGAAAACTCACTGGGGATAGCAATGATAAACCATTCCTGAACATCTCACATATCTCAACAAACAAACAAACATTAGTGGTTGTTCTGGATTTTTCAGGCTCTTTGGCCATGTTCTTCCTAATGTTTTGCCAGTCTCTGCATCTTCAGAGGACAGCAACCTGTGCTCTCACGCGAATATATAAAAAACCATTAGGTTTTTTTGAAAGTGACTTGAAAATGCATCATGATAACACATATTATTATGTGGTCCTTAACACATGTTATGATGTGGTTTATCATCCACCCTATGAACCACTGTCAATTTGTTATGTGATATTTTGATCTGAAGTAGAGATGGGGGTATTCGTATTCGTATGCGAATAACCCCGCACAGGTGGAGATAACAAGGGTCTGGCCCCATGGGGCCAGATGGTCCACTCACCAATGTGCTAATGCCAGGGGGTCCGTACTGCTGTCCTATCACTCTGGAGATCGCGATCACCAAGCTACTCTTTGATCTGGCAGAGAGGCTTGTTGTCTCACCTCCTGCAGGGAGTGGCTCGACGATCGTGATCTCCAGAGTGATAGGACAGCAGCGCGGAGCCTGCAGCATTAGCGCATCAGTGAGTGGACCTCATTATCTCCACCTGTGTGGGGGTATTCATATTTGTATATGAATACCCCTATCTGTAATCTGAAGTCATCCTGCTGGAATACTGTTACAGATAACATTCTTTTTTTTCTGGAAGTCTTCATCAGAATCATGGGAGGAACATTACAATTCTTTTCATTTTCCTTATGGAGATTGTTTTACATGGAAGAAATATTTCTGTTCTGCTACAATTTGCAATCCATTCCATGCCCATTGCTGATACATTGTGTCTTTTGTCAATAATGCTTTTGCTGTATGGACTTCAAATACATCAATTTCATGTTCTAATATAGGCATGTGCAACTTATGTGCTCTGAAATGACTAATGCTATGCATATGCATTGGAAACCTGTTACTGTACAGTATTTGTTATTCAGATCCCAAAAGAATAAAGTACTTAACATTTAGCACAACATTATCTACAAACAATTCAGTAATCAGTAAATTAATTGGTCTTTTTCTCACTCCTGCCTCTGCTGCAACCACACTGGTTCATTATCTTATTTAATTAAAGCTAATGTTCTATTTTTTTCCTTCACCTCACTGCTCTTCCCAAAATCTCGAAAGCCTGAAACTGATCAGATAAAGTTTTAAGTTTTGCACATATGCATTTTCTAGTCTTAGAATAGTAGTGCTCAGTATCTATCTCTCTGAAGCTGAAAGCAAGAAGTACAGAACCCCAAAGCTTCCAGTGTTTTGACCAAGTCCCAGAAGGCTCAGTTAGTACACTTAAGGGTAAAGGACAATGGGAACTGTAGTCCAAATGTCTCAAAACCTAATCATTCTCCACCTTCTTTATTAAAGTAGCATTGTGTCCTAATCCCTATCTGGAACAGTGAAGATATCCCTGGACACTGTCCCAAGAAAAAGCATTCATACCAGCAGAGACTTGAAAGTGAGCTTCCAGTGTATTTCCAGCTCCTCACTATAGTGTTTCTGTTAAGGAGCCCTGTGAAGGCCCTTCGGGGCTTGTAGGTTGAAATGAGTCCAAAAGTAACAGTTCCTGATATTCAGCCTAGAACTGGTTTCCTACAACTTGAACCTGTTATTATGTGTCCCGCACTCTGGGATGGTCAAGAACAAGATTGCTCCTCCTCTGTGTAACTATATTTCAAGTATGTTGGATATTAACAGTTCATGATCAATAGCACATTCTGCTCCTAGTCTTCACAGGGAGAATACAACTTCTCCATCTATTGCTCCCAATTACTTAGCCTATTTGATTTATATATTCTAGTCCAAAATACAATTTAAATATTACTGATGAATTTAAAATCTACATAAAACAGGTTTGCATTACAAAACTCAGTTGACCATGAACCAGGGGAACTGTGGATTGAAACCAGAGATATTATTATGGAAGAATGGAAAGAGACAATCTGTGTAGTAAATAGGAGGAAAAAACATGGATGGATGATGGATGAAATACTTAAAATTATTGAGGCTAGGCAAGGAGCAAAAAGAAGTGACAGAAATAAGGTCTGAATCCTGAATGCAACTTTCAAGTGACAATTATATAGAGAAAAAGATAACTAATACAATGGTCAGTGCAAAGAAA